AAAACCATAGCGACTGGTCATTGAGTACGGTACCTGTTATGAAACCGAACGGAGAAGTGAGACTTTGTTTAGATGCTCGACGCTTGAACGAGCGAATGCAACGAGATGCCTACCCAAGATCGCATACTAAGTCGATTGGGCGCGTGCAGGTATTTGTCGACAATAGATCTCACGAAAGCTTTTCTACAAATTCCTCTCGAGCCCAATTCGAAGGAGTATATATACTTATACGTATACGTCGTTCTCGGTGCTGAGTAGAGGATTATTTTAATTCATCCGTTTCGTTTACCCTTTGGCCTCATCAACAGCCCAGCCACTCTTTCCAGGCTGAAGAACCAAGTATAGGAGTACGGAGAGCTAGAACCGGAAGTTTTCGTTTACCTTGACGATATCGCCATCGTAAGCGAATCTTTCGAAGGGCATCTCAATGGTTTGCGGGAAGTAGCACATCGTCATAAGAACGCAAATCTCTCGGTTAATTTGCAAAAATCGAAATTTTGTCTCAATGAACTTCCTAATCTGGGTTATTTCCTCACACCAGATGGTTTGAAGCCCAATCCCGATATGATCGAAGCGATCGTGATTACGATTACGAACGACCGACTTCAATTCGCGCCCTATGCCGGTATTTGGGCATGGAAATTATTACAGGCGATTTATTAATAATTTCAGTGAAATTTCCGCTCCACTCACGAACTTGCTTCGAAAAAAAAACCCAAAATGATTGTGTTGAACGAACAAGCTGAGAAGGCTTTTCTCCGCATAAAAGAATGCTTGATATCTGCTCCCGTTCTGTGCAATCCAGTGAAGTCTTTCAAATTCAGAGTGCCGCCAGCCCAAGGTACAATTCAGTAGCCATTTGGCATCCACTCTGATTTAGGATGGTTTTATAACGGCAATGAACAAACCATTTAGCATACAGCATTTCAAAGTGTAAAACATTCCTACGTAGTAATTCAGCTTTTTGCTGTTTTAAAAACCTTTTATAGTCTGAAAAGGAAGTCAAAAACTGTCTTGTTTTAAAAACAAATTTAAAACAGTTCTCAATCCCTCTTTAAAACTGCTCTGTTATTCAAGCATAAACGTCATTAGCAATTGTTTATTAATGTATTGATAAAATAGTTTATAAACGTGTTCTATCATTATAAAAGCAACCATAAAACCATTAGGTTTTGCATTAGAGCAAAAAGCATTTATTGTTGCTTTTTAGGCCTTTTAAAGTGCATCATAAACTTCCCAATTACTCTGTATACAAATTGAGCTTAAAAGATGGTTCGTCATAGTTAATAAAAGCCCAATTTATGACAAGGAAATCTCGAAGGATAGACGAAGTAGGATGAAAAATTCAAGTCGATTTCAGCAAAATTTACTTCCTTATCATCATATCATCAACGACTGACCATCTGGCGGAGAAGAGTAAAGTGAGCGGGACTTCGAAATCGTAAAACATTGTCGAAAGTTGAAAAACATACCAGCCTTCTTCAGATCTTGCGAATAGATGACAATCGAAATAACAACCGACAGCAAACCACTGAACGGCGCCGGTGGTGTAGTGGTAAGCGTGATTACCTCTCACCCCAGCAGGCCTGGGTTCAATCCCAGTCGGCGCCGCCGGGATGTTCTGAGGCATAACATCTCTGATCACGCCTTCCTTCGGATGGGAAGTAAAGCCGTTGGTCCCCGGTTCATGAGTTGTTGGGTCGATAGGTAGGGTCCAGGTGTGGAAGCTGCCTTCCTGGCACGTCGGTAGCATTGGTGCTCAGCACGGAAAACAAGATCGACGGAAAAAACAAACCAAACGAAGGAAAAAAAAAAAGCAAACCACTGAAACTGTTAGTTAGCGGAGATTAGCTGGTTTCCGATCCATAGCAGCGATTTTGTTCGGCGAAAGAATCAACTCTCCGAAAATTTCATTCAAGCGTACATCCCTGCATCGTTGGATGGTGCACTTCTGTAACCATGCGGAAGAAGGGGATCTTTTTCGGTTCGAAATGCGAAATGTTGCTAAACAGTGTCGTTAACTATCTGAGTAGCTGCTCCCAATCCATCGGGAGAAAACTGCCTGGAAGAACCCTGGATCGCATAGCGCAACTAAATAGCGAAAGATAAACAAACTTTGACGTTTAACTTTTTGCAGGCAACTTTGTCTCCATAAATGCTGCCATAAATCTGAACGGGTTAGGATCAAGCAAAATGGCTTTAGATAAATACAATTCAGGCTGCAAGTTTTCATCATAAAAGCCATTTTAAAACCTTTTGAATTTGTTAAGGATTTCTTGAAAGCAAAACAACTTTTTCACAAATGACCCATGAAAATCAACTTTTATGCCACCGCCATGTTACAATTAGTTTGCTTGTTTTTTTACAATCTTCGATTTTCAATCTGTAGTTCTGTTGGCGCGCTTCTTGGCACCAAGGCGGTGGAGAATTCGTCAAGGTGGAAAAAGCAGAATCGAGTCAGTTGGTCGACCAGTCCAGCGAAAGTGGTTTCGAAAGCGGCAGAATAAAACGAGGACAAGTTTTTACTTTTAATCTTTTATTCTCCGATATTAACCGTGTGCGATACAAAAATTAACTGAGCTCATTCCCGAATGGGCTACTTTATTTACACTCATTCACCGATCCGACAACGTATAATGGGCGGAGCGTTGCGCGCTATTCTACGTTTTCTTCTTGTAGGTTGCCTTTGTTGGTGTGCGTCGCTTCTACTGCTGCCCAGAGATGCCAGATTTTTTTCTATGCAATTCCGTAGACTTATTCAAATCTACGGATTTATACGGATTTTTTTTAGTCGAAGGTGATATCTTTTTTGTTTAATTCTAAGGTGATATTTTACGTAAATCGATGCAAAAAACTTTTGAAAAACTACTAGGGACAGCCCTCCGGGGTTGTACGCAATGGTGACGTCTGACTACGTGCTCTTATATAATAAATGTTATTTGTTAACTGTAGCAGGACTTGTGTTTTGTGTAGGAATAGGAATTTGAGCGGGGTTCTCTCTGTTTATACTCTTAAGTATGACTATGATTGCCATGAAAAGAAGCTTTTGATATGAATCTTAGTTGGGACATGTTCAGAAATTTAACTCTTTTTTCAAAAATCTTGGTGGTCCTGAAAAGGGCCGATGGTAGTACAGGCATGAATACCATGATACAGTTGCACCTGTAGTTTTTGGCATAACTTCACTGATTGATTCCTGGGGATCTTTTTTAACCATAGCAAGATGTGCGCGTGAGGACTTCCACGGTGCTGAAATTCAATCGTGTCAATCAGCTTGTTGAAGTACACACAGCACATGACTGGATTGAGTCCTTCTGACAATCGATGTAGGAGATTCAACAAATGGGGCCACTTCATCTCATTTGAACTGAGTGTGAGGAACGTCGTAGGTTTTCCCAATTGTCGCATCATGGTGAACAAATTTCTCTTCCTTTGTTGCCAATACTGTACTGAATTCGGTATTGATTTTAGGAAGAATAGATTTCGATCAATGCACTGCTCCATGAATAAGGCGGTCCTTAAGGTTAACACGTGTAATGTTTGCGGTCCCCGTGCACTTAAAAGTGCATTGCAAGCCTTCGGAAACTCTAAGGTGAAGAACTTCCATTGTCATATACACCAAATGTTGTGGTTTGGCCATACGCCTGTCTTAACGACGAGTTTCACTGTATGCCATCATGAAATATGTTAAAGAGCCTGAATTTATAAAGAGACGACTTCTTATCCATTTGACAGGTCTTCTGCTCGATTGGAATGACTTTTCCTATGACTTTGACAGATAATAATCGATTGTTCCAATTTTGACATGCCTCTTTATAATTCAGGCTCTTTATAATATGTCACCCAAACCCCTGGCTTGAATTTCCGTAGATGACCGAAACATATGGCAGGAAAAGCTATCTCTTCGCCGTGCTCGTTATATAATAATGGCAGAGGAACATTGTTTTGCGCGGGAGCGATCTCCAGGCATCTCATTCCAAAGGAGCGTTTCCTGTTGCCCAAGCAGCAATTCTGTCTCATTATTCACGACAGTGGTCTCCAGCTCAATTTGAGGATCCAATTCAGGGGTTTTAAGACCATCTATGGCGATCTGATCAATTTTGATCCCGTAGCGGCGGTACAGTGGTATCGTAATCTAATAAGAATGCCACGCTTTAACCGTAGTTTCCTTTGTAAAGCCGGACAAGTACGACGACTTATGCATTACCTGCTTTTTGATGAACACGTTGAAGGCCTGATCATCATCGAGCTGGCGGGGAAGAGAGCGTCGTGTCGTCTCAATTTGGTGTAAATTAAACCATTTCTGTTCAGAAATGTAATTACTAGGCCATCGTTGCTAGCTATTTTCAGAATTCATACCAGCACAACATCAGCAGCTCTTATTATAAGAAAAACTAAAATACATACATTCGTGACGGCCTGTCGTATGACAGAGCCTGTGTCGTATGACAGAGCCTGTCGTATGACATTTAAGTTTGGTACTGTAATTTGGAAGCTTGTTTTGCAAGTGTCGGAAGCAAAGGCAGTAGATTATCATAAAAAATGTGTCGACTACGGTGACGGCTTACAATACTAGTCTCGACACGACTTTTATTCGCCTTCACACGGCACCGTCGAAAAATTTTCTCTTCTAGCACAGATTGACAGTATATTATGGGAACTTTCAGCGGAGTGAAGAGATAGTACGAAGACCGCCATGTTTCACGCACAGTCTAACGTTTGCTTACGCGATATTTAATATGAGGGAAGAGCTATAGAGTCGCCGTCAACGCCAATTATATCAAAAAGCGGATAAGTGAGCAAGAAAACGGCTGACAAGCTACAGGGGTGTATTTTACTTTATGCTTCTTTCCCTTCAGAATCAGATTATACTCCACATTGTGAAATTCGATTCTGAAGGGAGACGTACACTGAAGAAAAAATCCGTAGAAACTGTACCGAATTCCGTAGATTTTGCCTACGGATCCGTATTTCCGCAAAAAATTGTAAAATCCGTAGATCTACGGAGATTTCCGTAGATCTGGCATCTCTGCTGCTGCCGCTGCTTCTGTTGGTGTGCGTCGTTCGATTTCATTTGGCAGTCTTTCCGGAGCGAACGGTTCGGTCGCGAACATATTCCCCCCAGGCTGCGAAGAATTCACTGAATCGATGTTTTGGTCGTCATTGTCAGCAATCGGAAGGACGGATAATTTGGATACCGCTCGTCTATAGATGCAACCTTCGACGTTGATGTCTACCGCTCGCACCAAATTGTCGGAATCTGGGTAAATCTGGACGACCTTTCCCATCTTCCAACATTGCGGTGGGATATCCTTCTGCTCAAGCAGCACGATTATACCAGGGCGAATGTTTGGTTGTCTTTGGCGGTTTTTCCCCCTCAGTTGCAGGTTCAACAAGTAGTCCCGGCTCCATTGTCTCCAGAACTGCTCACGGAGATACTGTAGATACTGCCATCTTGACAGGCGATTGGTTGGTATCTCATTGTAGCTAGGCTCCGGCGTGGCTATCAGAGGACGGCCAATCAAAAAATGGCCCGGTGTCAAAATTTCGTCGTCTGGATCTGATGTTGAGCAGAGAGGCCGGGAATTCATTATAGCCTCCACTTGGCTAAGGACTGTAGCATACTCTTCAAAAGTCAATTTGGCATTTTTTAGAGTTCTCTTCAGGTGATACTTAGCGGTCTTCACTGCGCTCTCCCAGAGGCCGCCAAAGTTGGGAGCTTCCGGTGGGATAAATTTCCAGGAGATCTCTTTTGGCTGGCAGAAGGATGCTATCTCGTCAACGGCATTGCGGCTGCGAAATAGGAGATATAGATCATGTAATTCGGATTTGGCTCCCTTGAAGTTGGAGCCATTATCTGAAAAGACCTCTCGGCAAATGCCCCGTCGGCTGACGAAGCGCTGAAGTGCAGCTAGGAACGCGGCGGTAGAGATGTCGGAAACTAATTCCAAATGGACAGCTTTCGTTGACATGCAGATAAACACCGCGATGTAGGCCTTGACAATTTTCGGTTTGTGATGACCTTCCTTCACAAATACTGGTCCGGCATAGTCAATGCCAGTTTTCAAAAACGGTTCAGCGGGTGTTACTCGGCAGGGCGGCAGATTTCCCATCAGTTGAATAGAACGTTTAGGCTTCGACCGGAAACATGTGATGCAGCTTCTGGTAATCTTCCTGACGGACGACCTTCCATCCAGCAACCAAAAACGTGATCGGAGAGCGGCCAATAGGGCAGTTGGACCAACATGCAGGTTCTCTTCGTGGTATGTACGGATGATTTGATCGGTGATCGGATGTTTAGGAAGTAATAGTGGATGCTTGGTTTCAAAAGGTAGCAGGAAATGTTGAAGCCTTCCTCCAACGCGCAGCACTCCATTGTTGTAAATCGGATTCAGAGCAGCAATTTTCTTACACGGTTCGTTGGATGTCACACGATGAATCTCGTCACCCAGAGCTTCAAGCTGAATGACCCTTACAATCAGCGGTAAAGCCGAGCGTAGTTCTTGGATTGTAGGATGACGTTGGAGGACTCGTTCGTTGCTAGATTTCAGTCGACAGTTACGGTTAAATCGCTGGACCAACGCGACTACCCGTTGAAGCTTTCTAAACGAGCTGAACCTAGAAAATACTTCCATCTTCTCCTCGTTAACGACTGGAATGGCGGTTACATTTACCTTTTTCAACTCCGGAAGATCTTCATCAGCGATGTCATCGGGAAGTTCCGACTGGTACTGCGCGGTACTTAGAAATGTCGGCCCATTCCACCAAAGTTCATTGGTGCTCAGGGCGTGTGGAAATTGACCTCTGGATACTAAATCTGCTGGGTTTTGTTTCGATTTGATGTACTTCCACGTGTAGCCTTCGGTGCTCTTCAAAATCTCTGCTACGCGGTTGCGCACAAACACTTAAAGGGATGATAACGGCTCCGCAACCAGGCAAGTACCACCTGACTGTCGCACCACAGAACAACTTGCGATACATCTAGTTGAAGGGAGTCCAGCACTTTTACGAGTAGCCGGGCAAGTAGTCGGGCACCGAGTAATTCTTTGCGTGGAATGCTCAATTCAGCTATCGGAGTGACCTTGGATTTGCTGCACAGCATGTTGAGTCGAGTCTTACCATTCGGTAGGATACAGCGAATATAAATGACCACTCCGTAAGCAGCCGCCGAGGCGTCGGAGAAGCCATGGATTTCGATGGTGGTGGCATCAGAAGAAATGGTGCATCGAGGAATCTTGATTTCGCTTACCAAGAGTAGGGCTTCACGGAATTGTTTCCAGGATTGTAGAAGTTCTCCTTCCAACGGGGTATCCCACGGGAGACCGGATCTCCAAATCCTCTGCATGATCATTTTGGCGATAATGGTTACCGGCGTCACAAGACCCAGTGGATCGAACAGTCTGCCAATTTCGGATAACACTGTTCGCTTCGTAGGATGGCTTGCTTCTCGATCGGTTTGATTGGTGCTGAACACAAATTCATCTCGTTGTGGGCTCCAGATCAATCCCAATGTTTTCATAACGTCGATTGAGGTGTTGTCCAGACGTACTAATTTCTCACGGTCGGCTTCTGGAACGTTTTCTAGAATTTCTGTTGTGTTAGAACTCCATTTGTGGACCGGGAATCCACCTCGTTCAAGTAGCTGTTGAATTTGGGTTTGACTTGCGATGGCTTCCTCTACGGTGTTCGCACCTGAGATGACATCATCGACGTAACAATCTAGGCGGATGATTCGTGCAGCGAGTGGAAATGAGTCGCCTTCATCGTCACAGAGCTGTATCAAACATCTGGTCGCCAAGAATGGGGCTGCAGCTGTCCCGTAAGTAACGGTTGTGAGTTCCAGGACACGGAGGGGTTCTTCCTGGCTTGACCGCCAGAAAATTCGTTGGAAACACGCGTGAAGTAGTGCCATGCGTACCTGTCGAAAAATTTTTGAAACGTCAGCGGTGAATACTATCCTATACTTCCGAAAACGTAACAGGATACTGAAGATGTCGCTTTGCAGTGTTGCTCCAACTAGAAGAACGTCGTTCAATGACTTCTCGGACCGGGATGCCTTGGCAGAGGCGTCGAAAACAACTCGAATTTTAGTTGTCGAGCTCAATGGACGTAGGATGGCTTGATGCGGGAGATAATACACTCGTTGATTGGGAGTATCATCGGCTTCGTTCACCTCTTGACAATGCCCCAATGCTTCATACTCATCGATAAATCGACAATACTGTTGTTTTAGCTCCGGATTTTTCTTGAATCTTCGCTCTAACGAAAGGCCAAGTTTCGGTTGTCTCCTAGCTCGTGCACCGATTCGCGGAATGGCAAACTCACCTCATATCTGCCGGTCTCATCTCGACGATGGGTAGACTGGAATACTTTTTCGCACTCATCTTGCTCGCTGGGTTGTGTTACTGACTCAGAGATCTCTTCCAGCTCCCAAAATTGGCGAAGGACTTCAGAAATAGGATCCGTCAGGGCAGCTAGACACTGCTGGGAGGTTGACACGTCGTCGATGTCTCCTGCAACTACCCATCCTAAATGGGTTTCTTGTAGTTCAGGTAACTTATCACTCAGTTGAATACGGCCCGTCTTTAGCAATTGCAAAAAATGGGAGATACCGATTAGCATATCGATATCGGAAGGAGTGTGGAAGTTGGGGTCTGCCATAAGTAGATCGGTGTTGATTGGCCATGCCGAAACGTTGATTTTCGTTGCTGGAATCGCTCCCGTTATCTCAGGAACTACGAGGCATTCGATAGTAGTACAGAAATCGGAATGCCTGGACTCCACTTCCACCATCATCTTCTCCTTCGCGTAGGTTTTGGACCCACCTATTCCAGCGATGGGTACATGTGCAGGTCGTCTTTCGGTGGCCAAGCGGTCAGCCATTGCCTTGGATAGGAAGTTGACTTGCGAGCCGCTATCCAACAGAACACGGCAGGGAGTTGTCCATCCACGAGAATCCTTGATTCGCACCACAGCGGTCATGAGCATAACGGTTTTGGCAGCTTTAGAATGGTTACATGACGCAACAGTTTCGGTGACTCGTTGAGACTCCGAGTGGTTCTCGGAAGAGGTTTGGCAAGCTGGTTCTTCATTTTGGATGGTTGGTGCCACCTCCACTGCATTCGAATCTGCTTCTTCATGCAACAGAGTGTGGTGTCTTCTCTGGCAGCGATAGCACGTCTTTTTGGATGAACAATCAATGGCTCGATGACCAGGGCGAAGGCAGTTGAAACAGATTCTCAACTCCTTCACTTTTTCATTCCGTTGAGCCGGTGACATTTGATGGAACTTCGGGCATTCGAAATGGCGATGGTAGCCACTACATACCTGGCAGGAACTGCTGGAGGTCACAGTCGTTGCAGCGTGGGCTTTCTGGTTAGTTGGTTTCGAACCCTGTTGTTGCCTTGGCAATGGCTCTTTTGCCGTCATCTGGTGCCGGTTTTGGAACCTTTCCAACACCTGGCATTCGCTTCGAAGAAAGGCCACAGTTTCTTGGTATTGGGGCAGCTTGGCATGCTGCTGTGTCCTCTCCCATAACTGGAGTGTTTGATCGTCCAATCGTGAAGTGAGGATCTTCGTGAGGATGAGACCAGATAGTACATCAACTTCCAGTCCCTGGTACTCGAGACCGCCAACATGACGGATGAATGTCTTCACTAGCTCGAGTAAATCTTTATGGCTGCGGGTGGTCATCGGTTTCATCTCGAGCAAACCTTCGATATGCGTATCGACGATTACTCGGGGGTTTTCGTACTGGTCACTGAGCTGTTGCCAGGTTTGTTTGAAGTTGTTGTCAACGATCATTCTTGCCGTAATCCAACCGGAGGCATCACCCGTTAGCGCCTTATCGAGATGATGCAGCTTAACTGCATCGGAATCGGCGCTCCGTCCGACAATATCCTCAAACATCATCCGAAATTTCGGCCAATTCTCTACCTTCCCGTCGAATGTGGGAACTGGAGCTCGTAGTGATTGCTGCTGGATGATCACGGGTTGATTTTCACCTCTAGCACCGGAAGGGGAAATGGTTTCGGTGAGCAGTTCAAGCAAGGCAAACGTGTTGGTATGGAGAGCGTCGAAAATATCCAAAGCAAAGCATCTTCCAGTTCAATCTCATTGGAGGGTGTGGAAGCAACTATTGATTGGTGAATTGAAATGAACTCGTTGTAATGTAGTTCGAGCTTTTTCGAAAACACTTTCAAAAGCGATGCACAAATTTTACTTGGAGTATCCTCAGCTTCTTCAAGTGTGCGACTTATCGTTGTCACCTTTGCCTGAATTTGGCGACGCTGGTGAACTAATGCTGCCTTGGCATCATCTTCTGCCTCCTGCTTGGTAGACTTTCTCGTTTTCGGCATTTTGATCCACTTTTTCCACACTGGAATTCAATGTCGACACGACACTGGTTGGTTATCCGGTTCGGTAGGACCATATGTTGGCGCGCTTCTTGGCACCAAGGCAGTGAATTCTCCTCGTCAAGCCAGAAAAAGCAGAATCGAGTCAGTTGGTCGACTAGTCCAACGAAAGCGGTTTCGAAAGCGGCAGAATAAAAGGAGGACAAGTTTTTACTTTTAATCTTTTATTCTCCAATATTAACCGTGTGCGATACAAAAATTAACTGAGCTCATTCACAAATGGGCTGCTTTATTTGCAGTCATTCACCGATCCGACAACGTATAATGGGCGGAGCGCTGCGCGCTATTCTACGTTTTCTTCTTGTAGGTTGCCTTTGTTGGTGTGCGTCGCTTCTACTGCTGCCGCTGCTTCTGTTGGTGTGCGTCGTTCGGTTTCATTTGGCAGTCTTTCCGGAGCGAACGGTTCGGTCGCGAACAAGTTTCTTGGATATAGCTATATTTTTGGTAAATTTAGCAATGAGCAAACATTTAAATGCGAAAATCATAAAAAAAATCTCGGCCTACCTCGATCTGAAGAATTTTTTTTTTTCAATGTAAAATAATTAGTAAAATCGACATTTTACGAGGGCGGACGTATTTTTTTTTCGATGTTTTCACGTACATTTCACATAAAATTTAATAAGGCACTTAAAACTAGGCCACTTAATGAGAACTATTGTAACAAAATTTGGATATTCAACAAGATTTTCATACCATCAGTTTCTATTTAAATTATTTTGATAAGATCGGATTCATAAGTCCTTTTCTATCTTTATTGAAGCTTTCCTAGTGGATTTAGCAAGCGGCTAGGGGAAATGGCTCGGAAAGGGTTTTTATTGTTGCTAAATAGCTTTTGTTGTAGCTTTCAAATGGTTCTCAATGCGTTCGTCATACAACCTTTTTGCAGTAAATCAATATTGAAGAGCTTCTAGCAGTTTTAGTACAATACGCCCTTGAAAGGAATAGGGTAAAGCGCGGTTAAAATAGTACTTGTTCGATTATCGGAACAAACTCACTATTTTGTCGAATTTCGCGTTCAAAATGCTTATTTTCATATTTGTCGAGTCAAGCCCATAAAGGTGTTGTCTCAAACCTGGACTTAATTTGCTGAGGGAAAGTTTAAACGAAAATAAACTTTATCGTTGATAAAGATTTATTCTATAGAGGGAGTATGTGGTAGTGTTACCGTTTGTAACATTTGTTGATGTATTTCTGTATGTTTATCGTATTCTGCATGTCCACTTGAATTTGAATAATAATTGCCAATTTGATACCCCTAGTTTTAGTACACTATACAATACCACAGTTTACTACCAACTTCTGGAATAGGTGATGAGCCAACAATTTGAGTCCAGAGAAGTGCAGAGAAAGGGAACGGCGAGTAGCTCGGAAACTTCTTCCGCCACTTGCCAAGTAAACTTAACCGACAGCAGTTAAATAAGCTAAAAACCGTTAAAATTATAGTGAAGAAAAGTAAGAGTGTCGTAGTAGCAGGAGTGGAGAGAGAGGGTCAGGTATGGAACTGGGATTGAAAAGGTCACATGTCACAATCGGGCCTAAGACCGTTTCTTTTGTGCCCTTTAGGACCCGTTAGTTGTAAGGGTAGCTTTTGGTGGAGAACTGGCCTCTCGACGATACCGAGGTTGGACTCGCTTTGGAGTAATTGTATAATTATCCCGCGTGGTTGTGCTATACCAGTCGTAGTTTCCCAACCAAAGGGTTGGAAGCTGGAAGATTAGGATTCGAGTTCCAACCCAAATTGTACCGAGCACACACCCGTAAAATCCAAGTCCGCCATCTCCAGGCCTGGAACCAAAAACTCTCAGCGGAGCCAACATTCGTTCGCCAGAGTCCGCCATTGTGCTAACCGACCGGCGTCGCCAGACGCTTTCACCGAGTCTTCATCAGCCTCACTGTTTCCCGCCATCAAGCTAGCCACCGTCATCGAGACCCCCACCACCCCCACCAGTAAATTCCAGCAGCCACCGGCCGGTCAGGTATTTGTAACAAACCACCTTACACACCACACTCCCACACACACCCCATGTTTAATTAGGGAAATAAATGGTAAAATTGTATTTCATCAGCTTCTTTTTACTACACCTTATCCGAGGTCTGATTTTCCGAGTAAAGTACACCAGCCGACCTTGAGGCTAAGAAATAGTTCTCCAGCTCTGCTAGCCATTAAAAGAGGTTGTTGTATAACCCACCCTCACTGGTAGGCCGTTGCTTTGCCAAGCCCGCCGAGGTGTTTGTCCTGGTAGGCCCCTTGGTACCCCACCCTAGCAGCAACAAATATGATTGCAATATTATAAGACTGTATATTATAATATTGGGCGTAAATAGCTCAATAAAGCAGATTAAGTATAAAGTCATAAAGCTCCAGTTGTAATCCAAGAAAAAGTAAATGATGTATATACACTTCGCACTACGTAAAACTCATATCAGTTCCACATAGATAAGCCACAATCATATCTTAAAATGATTGCCATGTTAGGAAATAAACGTGAAGGCATAAATCAATTGATTATTCAATTATGATTTGAACTCCAATCGCTGTTCAATTGAGCAGTGCAGAAACTGAGACCAATAAAAATATAAATATCTTTTAAGGCCTCGTCTATCTATGGATAATATCAAAAACTATACTGTGTAACAACGGTTCTATTCACGTGCCCGGTGTTTCAATATGGGTTTATTATCGTTATCGGAATTCGATGCTGTGGAGCAGATAAGTTCATCACAATCAATTTATGAGAGCGATGTGATGGTGTTAGTTAGTCCTTATCTAAAGTGCTCAGCTGTAAGGCGAAGCACTCAGTGCCTTGAGGTCTTTTTGTGGTGATTAATTCGGTGAAAAAAATGTACTCAGAAGAATTCAAATTAGTGAAACTAACGAAGCGTAAATTGGGCCGCAACTAAGTGTGAGTATCATAATATGAAAGTCGTTTAAAGCTGACCACTGGCGTGTGCAGTCCTCTTCATTTGGGGGAGCCGCCTACCAAAAGGGGGCGCTTCATAGCTTTGAGGGCGCCAATAATTTTGAAGAGATAATGTTTACTTACTAACATTTTCCTTGCGCTTTCCAGATTTTGACGCTTTTCTTTGAAAAATTTTGAGGTTTAACGAAAACTTTAAAAAACTGTTGTTTGTAGACACAAATCTTTAAAAAAAATAGTTTATAAAGTAAATAATTCAAAACTGAGACGAAGATCTCTGTAAAATAATTCATCCACTGAATTATGTTTTGAACTTCACGTCGAAGTACAAAAATTTTTAAATGCAGCTTTGAAACTTTTATTGCACCAAAAATGGTAAGGTATGGGAAAAGGGCAAGCGAGCTCACGCACTAGGAGGGTGGTTGCATTGATTGCAAACAAAAAAATACTAGAATTTTGGATACATAATATATCAATTGTATTGTTTAAGTTGCCTTATTTTAAAATTACAGTTATATTTCAGACTTACAAACGTCTTATGCATACTCAAAATGTTCAAAAAGTGTGTATAAATTATTTCAACTATGTTTTTTTGATGATGATGTTGATGGTCCCACCTCTTACTCCTACAAAGGTTTGAGCTGGACGATTTATCTTTAAGATAACCTTTGTAGGGGTAAGAGGTGGGACCATCATCATCATCATCATCATCATCATCATCATCATCATCATCATCATCATCATCATCATCATCATCATCATCATCATCATCATCATCATCATCATCATCATCATCATAAGTATTACAAGCAATCAAGAGTTAATGAACAATCAACAAAGCATCCTATTACACTAGCAACCCCGCAATCTGATGCTGTCATAATTTTCAGCAATGTCAGGAATGCTCACGAACCCCTAACATTTGCCAGAAAACTTACTACTAACTCAAGGTATCTTCCAAATAAGCTACAAAATTGCATTTTTTTAACAAATGTAAAATTCAGTCCTCTATATTCGTAATAAGCGCGCGAGGCTCAAACCTTTGTAGACTACTTTTTTTTTAATTAATCTACTTTTAAATCAAATATTAAAAATCCATCATTACCCTCGTGGTGAACAGAAATAGTTTCTGCAGTGCTAAAATAATTATTAAAAAGTCGTTATGACAGCTATCCATATAAAATAATCCGTTAGAGATAACATCGTCAAGATACATAATTTGTCAATTCATAAAAAAAATCACTGGATAACTGTTCAAAAGACAGTTTTAACGTGTGAAATGCAGTGTCTTTTAAATTCTGTAAGTGTTGCTGGACGTTTGATATGTCTAGGCATCGAATTGAAAACATTTATTCCATTATAATATAATGAATTTTGTGAAGCACAAGTCAAGAAATGTGGTGTTCTTATTTCAGCCGTGTTTCTAGTATTATATCTATGAAAGTCACTTCCTCTTTCAATTCAATCACACAAATATCGAGGCAGCAAATCGTTAAGTATTTTAAAATGAACACCACAGTCAAATATACAATACTTGGCTTCACCGACAACCATTGTAAGGCATCTAGCATCAAAG